TGGATGGGAATTATCTATGTGTGAAGTCGGTCGGGGGTCGGGGGGGGTGGCCCGAGAAAGGTATACGTAAACTCTTGGAGGTGATGTTTTTGTGATTTTGGAGCGGGTGGTGACGCAAGAGTGCATTTTTTGCTTTTGCATGGTTACCTATGTGTGGGCAGAACAAGACATGAAGCAGATTTGACACGCGGCCGCAAGCGGCTGCGCGAGCTCATTTGATTGCTTCGACGCGCAGTTGTCGAGAAAGGGAAGCGCTGGCTTTCGTTTTGCAGCTTCTCAGGTGGACAGACCTTTTTGGGTGGACTCCTATCCATTCTATGGAAAGGCAATCTTCCTATAATCTCAGACTAAAGGCTGTTTCAGGTGCTGGACTCCAGCCAGTCTATAAGCACAGCATTCTTGATTAGGGGCTCCTGGCCTTAGTACTAGGAGCAAGGACGCTACTAGGGGCTCCTACGTTACTAGGAACAAGGACTGTGACATTTTTTAGTGAACAGACTGTTCATGAACTTTTGTGTTTGGGTTTTGTTGTGCAACTTGAAGGAGAGCCCGGAATGGTAGTTTTTTGGAATGGGGGACTGTCCATTGGTATGCGCGAAGCATATACACTTTCAATAGAGCAGCAAGAGAGAGAAATGTGGTTGTCCGTCATTGTCAGCTGTTTTGTGAAGCCTAGACTTCTTTGCCAACATGACCCCTTATAAACCGGTTATTTGTTTGTGAACTGGGCGCTTGAGCGTTTATCTTGACCCAATGAAGGTCTGAACTTATGGTTAGGCAATTTTTAGGTTCTACAAAGGTGTCATGTTGGTTGGTTTTGGTCGGTCTGGGCTCCCCATTCTATAGTGAGCTGGTGTCTATAGAATGGGGAGTCCGGACCGACCATGGGAATTTCAACGGGGATGCAAATATTATATACTTATATGTACAGAATACAGTTAGAATTTTAGTATATAAAAAACTATATAATATATATATATGTCAATGCCCACATGGCCCATATATATATACACTAAGTAAGCCCTTCGGGACATATATACCTGGACCCTGAAACGATGTTTTTTCCGTCTCGCCAGAAAACATGACGCGGAAAAATGCATCAAGTTCGCGATAGAAAACATGACGACAAAATGACGCAGAAGTGACAAAATCCAACGAATAAGTAACAAAAATCGACACCAAAACTGTTTGTTGTGTTGGTTTTTTGAGCTTCAGCTTCGACTGAAAATTGCCCCCACCGGAAATATACGTGTTTTGCGGGGTCTATACACATGATCATATGATTACTATTAAAAATATGCGACACCAGCGCCAGACGGAGAGGGACTTGTGGAGTGTTGCGTTTGCCTTGCAAAACAATATATATATATGTTTCCTATAATTCAGACGGTGAGACGTTTGTTGTATTTTGGAAGACGATTAGTGCGGGTTGATTGTCGTGATGCAGTGAGACAGGGCTTGCTCCAATGCTAGACTCCGATAGAGCAAAATCGCCTCGATCTGTGACTAGCAGGAAAGGTCATGATTCCAGAACATCAACACGAGGCTTTAAGGTAAATTTTAAGTAATTAAGGGTGGATAATTAGATAGGTTTGTAAGACATATGAGTGCGCCTGTTCACACGACAACATGTGTGCGCAAGACAACGCACATGCAAGTACAGGCGGATGCTCGACGAACCCTCGGAACAATGGAACCGTTCTGAAGTCGGAATTCTACTGTCTTTAGTATATAGAAGGCAAAAACCCGCGCAAAAAAGACGTGTTTTTGTCGCACCTGTTTCCCAAACATGCAATTAAAAGCACGCAAAGTGCATTAGTACCCGTCTGGATATATGTATATATACCAAACGTACGACGGTGCCAAGTGAGAACAAAGGCATGGCTATGGACAAACCCGTGCTCTTCCGCAAGACATGCGTTCAGGCTGTCCAGACTTCAACGGACTCAAGAGGGGTCGGACTCGTTCGCAGCCTCAGGTGCCGGACTACAAGATCCCCGACTTCCACTATTGGGCCACTTGGCAATATGGGACTGCTGGGCACGGCGCTCTGGTTCTGAAAAGAGCTGTGAGATGCTGCAAAAGCCTTATAGGGGATATAGGCCAGGTCACACGGAAGGGGATAGATTCGGGGTGGATCCTCTATATTCCCGACTATTGAAAGTTCTCCAAACTTCTCGAGCTGGCTGTTGGAGACTGGCAGACTCCTCAACAGATCAAGTCAACATATCATGTGCTGACCTTTATCCACTCGCCAAATACTTTCAATCTTCCCGGGTTGTACAACCAGTAGTAGCTTCTGATGTTCACACGCATTCTGGCTAGAACCCTGGATCTTTAAAATCTGGATCTTGAGAGTTTCGACTCTGTGTACATAGATTTGACCTGATCAGCAGCCCAAGATCTACTACAAGAAGGCGGAGATTGTCGGTGAAGACGCTCTTTTTCTGGAGGAGCGATTCCCACGCGTGATCTGAAAGCACTTGCAGAAACATGCACCTACACAAATAAGACGGCCCCTGCGTATGTTCGCGTCAACCACATGGTAGGTTCAATTTTTTCCAGCGGTGCCGTGACCTGGATCTTTGCAATTTCCAAGACCAGATGGTTCCCTCGCAGAGGTCCCCGACCCAAAGGAGTTCAGAGGTCTGAACCATCAGTTCGTGAATGTTTGACACATGTTCAGGTTTTTGTTGGATTGCACGCTCTTTTTATGCATTCGGTTGAGAAAATCGCCTCTTCAAATCTTGTTTGCTTTTCGCCAGGAGCGCAGCTGCTGGCCGATGATCCTTTGGGTACGCTCAGATGGGAAGAGTCCTTCGATCCATGCTGATCCGCCCAAAACATGTTGGTACCGTATTAAAACACGGTGTTTCCCCTCACCAAATGGCCCAAATGGTATCGTTTTCCTTCTTCAAGGCGTTTTTGGTCCAAACGGGAGGTCGTCCTCACCCTATGGTCGCACGTTTTCCTAGCACCTTGGTCGGCCAGCGTGTTGGCGTTCTCTCCGATGGAGGACAGTGGTGACCTGCCGAGGTGAAGGGATTGGATTCAACACCCGTTGGACACGGCTTTTGATCACCAAGAGCCCTGAACTCGCTCCGCGTCCTAAAGAGCGGATCCGCGTTAGCCCCGAACTCGTAGCGGACATGTGGAGAGATATGGAGAGATGATGAGAACATGTACTCTCCCAAATATGGAAGTGCACCAGAAAAAAAAGGGTTGAAGACCGAAGTAGACTGGACTTTTGGGCGAACTCATTGAGGTTTTATTCACAGGCTGATTCGTAGTGTTCTTTTTTCTGGCTGTTTGAGTGCTTTTTTGAATGAAAGGTGAGTTGGAGTGACACATCGTGACACGAATCCTCAAAGAAGTAATTGTCGACTGTTGATCAATCAACCCCCAACACATGGGCATGTAAAGCCATTCTGGTAGGGGCCCGGGGGCGTTTCATTCATCAATTAGTCAACAGTACAGAATTGCTTTTTGTTTTTTCCATGTTTGATCGTCCTTGTCCAGGCTGTATTGCTGGCTTCTTGCTGTTGGCTGTCAGAATCTCAGAGAACGGTCCGAGTTGTCCAGCAGATTATCATGGATGGCTTTGAGATGTGGAGAGATGTGGAGATCTTGCATGCTTTCACGCATGTCACAAGGCAACTGCCGTTTTCTTTGTTTGCATTTTGATTATTTTGGATCGCAAAAAGACGTTCTCAGCCTATCTTAGAGCACCTGCCCCACAGGACCCCACAGGCTGCATGCTTGCTCGGCCTACGTGACCGCCCTTCTCCCGTGCCGGTCACACTGGGTCCAAGTCCGTGGGACGCATCGGAGCATCGGATCATCCGAAAAAAACCCACCCACATGCATCAGAAGCTTTGGCCGTCCGTCCGGCCGTGGAAAACTCTTGATGTGTTCGAACAATTTCGAAGCGTCGGATTTTCCATGGCTTTGATGCGACATGCATGGCTCCAGGAGCGAACAATGACCTGGAATTCGTGAGATCAAAACGGGTTCTTTTTTGCAGTAGCTCTATCCGGCCAAAGCGTGCTGTGTTGCTTGAATCACGGTCACACCTTGCAAGGTTGCTGATGTCATTCGAATGGATCTCCCATCAAGCAATGGAAGAGGTCGTTGAAACGCCGAAAATGTCTTGAATGTTCAGTCTGAAGCTGTTCGAGCTATTTTGTTTCAATTGGACCGAACTCGGTTCAGCGTTTTGTGCAGCGTTTTGCGCCGAGGTGTTTGTTCCTGATCCTTCGGGCGACTGGGTGGCAGAAGGGTGTTCCACACGGTTTCAACAACGGTTTGTGAGACTCGTTGCAGTCTGAAATGACCTGAAGTTCTAAAAACATGTCATGGATCCTGAACTCCAAATATGTTCTGTTTGGCTCAGATATGTCTCCAAGGCTTTCAAGACAAAGAGAGTCTGAGTCGATTTTGTTTTGACTCCTCATCAGAGAGCATTTGAAGGGTCCTCCTCCACGTGTGGCAAACATTGAACAGAATATATGACCATTCAACCTTTGCACGATTGCGAACCATTTGCCCTTCGAAGGGAGGATTGGTCTAAGATTTGTTTTTCTTACTTGTAGGCTGCTTCCTTGTGTTTCTGTTTATACTGGCTTATGTTGTTCATAGGGACTCCAGCCATTGGGTGTTCCCAGACTCCTTGTCCTCTTGGTCAGAAGCCAAGCTCTACGGCACCTGTGGACCTTCAGGTTCTTGGCCGGAAGGACCTGCGGAACCTGGGCACTGCACGGTTGCTGCTTGTTGGGGAGAGGTAAAAGGGGTTCTTGAAGAGTCGTTCTAAGCTTGGAATCACTGCCATTTACTGTATACGTCACTGAACACATAATCCGCATCTTTCAACTCTGCTCGAAAGTGAGAAGGACAACAAAGCCTCGCTAGTCAAGACATCCACCACCCGCCGAGCGTTTGTGGTTAACATAGCCGAACTTTGATGAGCCTGATGCACATAACTTGATGCATTACTGTACTACATGGCAGGTTTTCTCAGTCTACGGGTAGCTGGATTCGAGGTTTGTTTTTTTATCCGGTTGTCAGAAGGCCGAAACCTTGTGGCATGAAAGGCAGCATCAAGTCACCCTGGCAGTTTGTCATTGTGTTTTTCCTTTTTTTTTTATTAGCCTTGCACCATATGGCATATGGATATCTATGGCATTCTATGGCTGTCTTTGAAGAGTCCAAGGTTTTAGAAGAGGCATGGCTGCCTGATGCCCCACTGAAATTGTTTGGAATCCAGTATATAAGTGAAATGCTTCTTCTCTCCTTTCTCTCCTTGTCACCCCCGAGCATCCTCGGTTCCAGGACAGACTCTACGAGCCTTTAGAAGGATTGCCCGAGCAGCTGCCCCAGCGGACAAGGGCATCGCTACTAGAAACAAGAAGCTACTAGTAACAAATAGCAACAAGTGCATCGCTACTACAGTAGTAACAAAGGCATCGCTACTAGTAACAAAGGCATCGCTACTACAGTAGTAACAGAGGCATCGCTACTACAGTAGTAACAAAGGCATCGCTACTACAGTAGTAACAAAGGCATGGCTACTACAGTAGTAACAAAG